TAGATGTCCAATGCTGTACCTTTAATGTTGGTATTAAGACAACATACCGCAGATCTTCGACGTTCCTCCACAGTGATTTCATCATCCGAGTCGCTATAGTAACGGGAGTAGAGGAAGGGCTTGTGAACATAGGCCTTGCGACGAGGCTTACGCTCTTCTTCTCCTGCATCTCCACTTGCATGTTTCTTTTCTCCTCTCTCACCTTGATCTGGTGAAAGAAAAACACACACAAAAACATTTTTTACGTAAAATTAAAGTCTGTAGAAGAACATCTGTAACATCTGTAGTACAGACCATATTTAACACTTTATGATACAGTTACTTTTCAAAATTAGTTTGAAAACTCAGACAGGAGTAAAAAGTTGAGACCATCAAGTGGAAGCTCCCCTTCTTCAGAAGAGTCAGACTGCAGCTCCTCATCTTCACTTTCCTCTTCAAATGACGACAGGTCGCTGGTGTGGACAGAGCTCACTGTGATGTCGCTGAGGCCTTCGAGGTCAGAGTCCTCCAAAGAGTATTCTGCAATGCAAAGACATGTCTGTCTTTTATTCTTTTACTCTATTTCAAATGCACTGTTACAAAGGAATAAACATGAGAGTCAGCAATGTGCTAATCAAAAATTGGCCTTGACTCAGAAATGTGCTTTTATCAAGAATACTTTGCATTGTTCTAAAACTAAAAACATATTCAGAAGATACAGCAGCTCACCTTCCTTTATCCTCTCTCTGGCTTTCTGCTTGGCCTGACTTGTAGATTTCAGTAGCTCATCCTCCTGCTTCTCTTCTGAAGGTTTTCCAGTGGTTCGGCTGGTAACATTATCTTTCTCCTCCTCTGTCTGCTCCTGAGCTCCTGACTCCTCATCCTCCATCTTCACCTCTTCTATTAACCTCTCTTTTCCCAGATCCATCTGTTCCTGAGTGTCCTCTGTCTTCACTTCTAGTGCCTGGATCTCTGATGCCAACTTTGTTTCCTCTGTCTCTTCCAGCGTCCTTCCTTCATGGTGGTAGTCTCCTTCCTCCACAACACTCATATCCTGCTCACTCTCCTCCACCAGATGCATGGGCTCATCTGAAGCGTGGCCTTTGCGTCCTTTCTCTGTAACCGAGCTGGCCCTGACGCTAGCCTCCTGATTGAGAGAAGTTATTGTGTCCAGGATGGACATGGCGTCGCTGGCTGCAGTTGTGGTTGGAGCAGACGACGAGGCTGTGACCATAAGAGCATGTGATGACATGTGTTAACTGTGTGAATGTAAGTCAGACACTTTATTTAACAGATGCTTACTCTTGTGTTTTAAATCTCATTTCATGAGGCTGTAAAGACTGAATCTCCACTCTACTGTGAGTGACAGCCTCCATGTGATATACAGTATCACATAAATCATAAAGAAAAGTCAAAAAGTGACGACTGTTTACTAGAAGGAGGAGTAAAAGTGGAGAAATTCAAACAAGAATTGTCAAACAATCTGCACTGCAGTAGACACTAGACACCAGTAGAGATCTGTGTCCTGACTTCACTATGGTGTGTGCAAGTAAGGAAAATAATTCTTCTTGTTCAGTGGTCAAAATCTGAGTGAGAAAAAGTAAAAAGGTCAGACATGGCTAAAAAAGAGAAAAAAGAATGTTATGTACCCTGCTCAGGAATGCTGCTGTCTGGTTTGATCTCTGCCAAAGGCAGTGGGGCCAGTGGCTCTTCAGAGCAGCTGCCAGGCGACAGAAATTCACGGACCACCCTCTCCACCTGCGGCCTGAAGATGTGGTTGATTTTGGGATCCACCACTTGGGCCACTATCCTGTCCACTCCCTGCTCCAGCATCCCGGATCTAAGAAGAAGAGCTTGATTTAACTCTGGGTAACTGGTGCACATAAAACTAGTTATAAAACATCGCAAAGTAAAAGAATGCAGCACTTGAAATACAGAAGAGCAGTGCAACTGCTGAACTATTAAGTAACTACTAAGTGAACTATTAGCAAAAGCAGAAATGACAAACAAAAGGTGGAAAAGAGATATTTCTCCATTCTCACTTACTGCAGCACGAGCTGTCTGATGTTGTTCCTCAGCTGGTTCTTGTTCAAATGTGGGCTCCATGTGTGATTAGAGAGGTGATTAGAGACAAAGTTGTCCACTCTTTGTTTCAGGTTCAAGTAAGCTGGCTGCAAGAGAAAAGACAAGAAGATTATCATAGTTGAGGGGCTATTACAAAACAACTGTTGGATATTGTTACTTGAAATCCAATAACTATAATAATAATAATAATAATAATAATAATAATAATAAAAAGTCATCATGGAATCAATGAATTGACTAATCATTTTAGCACTAAGCAGTTTCCATTTCAGGTTTCATTGCACCATGAAAACAAGCTTGTGTTGAAACTAGCTTCAGATAAGCAATTCATAACTTATCCACATTTTCCTGTATGCTGACCCAAAACTGACCCTTAAATGAGAAATGTGGTAGATTTACATAACCTGTCTATCCTCACCAAGGCTTTTTACTGAATTTTATGCTGTACCAAAATGAATGGAAATGAAGGAAAACCAGTGGCTGCCTTGGGGGTAGGAAAAACTAAAGCTAACACTGACCTATCTCCTTAACATGAACGACAGCTCGTTTTCCAGGCCCCGCAGTAAAAATAATAAACAACTGAATGAACAACTGAACACCTGGCATGTAGCTTCAGTTAGCCGAAACGGGACTCAAGTGTCAAACCTGCTCCAGCAGAACAGTACCTGCTTTCAGAGCTCCCTAAACTAAGCTTTTACACATAAACGTTACACAGTCATTACACAATAAACACTGTTTGAAATTACGTTATGAAGATATTTTCAACCGTTACCTTTGTATCAACGTCTGCCAGGCAGTCCCTCCGAAACTGGTCGAAGAGCCCCTGTGTTTTTAAATGACTGACGATCATTGAGACCAGCTGTGGGTCTCCCGGTGGTAAACCAGCCATGTCTCAACGTAGTTAGCTTAGATTTTAGTGATTAAAAGTGATAATACTGATAACACATGGGATAATTTCCGACCCGAAGACAACAGCTTTCTGTTGTGTTTAGTGAAGTTCTATGAAGGTTTGAAACGGAAGGAAAAAAAATCGTTGTCACGTAAACCGGAACAACTTTAAAAGCTTTCTCCTACCAAAATAAAGGTTTAGTAAACGAGAAGGAACCAAATTCTTGGTTAATGCCATAGACAACTACAACAGCAAAATGCTACACAAAAAATTAAAGAATAAGCGAAAACATATAAACAATAGTATAATGGTGACAGGTGTTTCCTTTGAGTACTTTTAATACTTTAAATGTTTTTACTAAACATTGCCAATGCAGGACTTCTATTCACTACATTTCAGAGGGAAACATTGCACTTTAAATCAATGCAGGAATCAAGGCAAAAAATGACCTAAAAAGAAAAAATTGATGAAAACCTGGCTGTGACGCACTTGTTATCCAGTGCTTTTAACTTCAAAAGTCACAATTGGGCATTGAACAAGTCCCAACCAGGTTCATCACTTTTCAGTGTCCCCTGGAGACACTTCTGTTGTGCTATAGGACTGAATTTACAGCGCGCTTGTGTATTTTGTGTTTTTGCAGCGCATGTGTCAAATTGATGAAGATGTTTCCTGAATATGCGGCATGTTTGTGTCTATGCATGTGTTTTCCTAAGCTGCAGTGCGTTGAGCTCTCAGGGCAACCGCTATTCCCCACCTGTCATGTAAGTTCAAAATAGTAACATCAGAAATGTTGACCTCTTATTATGTGGCAGTAGTGACAATTAGTCATTGACAAAATTTGTTGTGTGGTGGTTTCGGAATGATGGAGACAGAGAACAATTTGATTCAAAATATGATGCAGGCTCTGGATGATTTTTTTTTCCAGGGCAACTATCATGTTTTCCCTAAATAATGTACAAATGGCTTGATACAGTAAACAGTACACGTAGCTGCTGTGAATCCAGAAAAAAATTCCTTGGCGGAGCATGTAGCCTGAATTAAACTGAAGTTGAGGCTAAGCCCCGAATGTTTACAATGTGTGCCCCCGCCCCTGGATAAACGGATATAGTAGCTTGTGTATGAGAGACAATCAGGAAGATTATGATCATTTAGTGACCTCTAGCGCTTTCATGTAACAAATTACATCCACGTTTGCTTAAGACTATGCCAAGTTATTGTGTAATTTGTTTCTCGGCGATAATTGGCTTGACCTTAATACTGATGGTGTTCGAGAAAGAATACGAGTTACCATCATTTCTATTGTTTTATGGTAAGTCAACCTAATGTATCACGTTTCTAACTCGGTTTTTTTTGTGACAATGTTACGTCGCTCGCTGTATAACTTCTACCGATATTCACCGACAACAAAAACTTTCAGTGAAGGCAGACGAAAGATCTCTGATAAGTTAAATACAAAATACAATCTGAGGAAAAAATGTGATGGCAGCGGTGGGATTCGAACCCACGCCCCCGAAGAGACTGGAGCCTTAATCCAGCGCCTTAGACCGCTCGGCCACGCTACCGTATGTACACGCCGTTGTCAAATAACTTTGTGAAGGTGTATTATTTAAATTGTGAACTACCGATTACGAGTATTCTAGTGTAGATGGGGGTCATTTATATATTATTAGTACATACCTTATGAAATAATTTCATAATATACACCATGTTCCCGTTTTATTAGGCACACCTAGCTAAGACAGTTTTGGTTGAAACTTGATATTTAGTCTACCCTCATTGATAAAGAGGTTGGATAAAATACTAAAATCATATAGTATAATTCATACAGCACACATGACAAACTAAACTACAGCCTCCAAAATGACCGTAAATGTGAAGGAACATCTTTGTAAACAGTTTCAACAAAACCTGAATATAAACTTAATGAAATTAGGATAAATTGCAGGGTGCCTTTGTAGTAGACCACAGCAGTTTTTGCTAATGATATACTGTTTGGCAATGCAACCACTTCCTTTACATAATAAATTATTCAATAGATGTCCTCAAATCCTTTTATAATATTTATTAGAAATTTGAAGTACAGCTTGAGGGAAAATAAAACATGCTTTACACCCCATCCCTCAAACACATTATCTTAAACTATTTGAGAATATATTCGGCTTGAGGCTGTCTAATAGTAGTACTTTGGAGTCAACACCATCAGGCGCAGAAATACAAAACTGAGCTTTGTCCATTTTAAAAAGTTTCAGAAATTAAAGTAACAACACATACACCTCTGAATAACTAGACATATATAATGACACCACACTGTACAACATATAAAACTGGGTATGCATGTATATGCATCATAAAATGTGCCGAAATAATGGCAGTTTGAAGCTCTTGGCAGTGAAACCAAAACATGCTGGCCCAGAGTCTCTCGTGGACATAAAACACCCCTCTGAAGGCAGTAAGCAGGCTGACCAGGTGGGCTCAGGATTTCTTGGCAGGGTAGGATGGGGGTAGGAGCCGGTGAGAGTTGCTGCGCACCCATGGGTGGTCAATGACACTCTGTAGCGAGAGGCGATTGATGGGGCTGTGGCGAAGCAGCTTTGATATCAGGTCCCGTGCACCATCTGAGACAGTCTTGGGGAACTTCAAATCCACCTGAAAATGACGAGAGGGTATTTATTTATTTAATCAACACAGACTGTTGCAGTAAATACTGACTTTTCTCAGAGAAATAGTTCATACTAGTTGTTTATATAGATACCTTACTTTTTTAAAATACCTGTGTATTGTGGTTTAATTGATTCATGATATATCACATCCCAATACTGATACCATAATTTTGGCTAAATCTAGGCTTTCTCAGCTCATGATTTGGTGTTGTTCAGGGTTCATGGACAGAAACTTATGAAGTTTCCTGAAATCACTGAAGAGTAAAAACATATGTAGATGAAAATATTATGAATTGAGTCTTATTTCTGAATACAGCCATCATTTTGTATCAGTTATGATAGTGTTGTACTCAAGAGTAATTGCTAGCATCTGGAGACAGCAACAAAGCCACAGCAAAGTTTGTTGGGACACAAAAAAAAAAAAAAAAAGTTTAGATGTTCTGATGATAAACCTTTGTTTGGAGGTAAATCTGAAAGTGAATGTACTTTAATTGTTGGTAATAATCCCCTAAGTACAGTAGGTAAACGTTGAAGCAGGATGACAGTCTGTAAACAGTGATGTGTGTTCAAGAGTAATCTTTAAAATTTCTGTTTTCAATCACTAGAATTTTTAAAAACGCAAGAGACCAAGAGAGTGAAAGCATAACACGTCCTCACTCCTCAGTAAAATTACCCCTCAAACACCCCTACCAAAATAAGCACCAGCATGCTTAGTGCTGGTAAGGCCGACCCTTGACTATTCTGAACGGTGTAAAATATCTCAAAAAGGTTCTTCTCACATATCCATGAATGGAAGTGGCCAAGGTTCTTCCAGACTTCACTTTACAAAAACTGACAAAACAATTTCTTTAGATTTGTCCAACTAAGAATTTGACACCCAAAGAAAAACACCAACCTTCATAATTCTTTTGTATGTTTCTGAATGGCTGGCAGTTTCAAAAGGTGGGTTGCCAACTAGGCATTCGTAGCAGAGGACCCCAATGCACCACAGGTCCACTTTCTCACTGTGGGTGTGTCCCTCAATCATCTCTGGAGGGAGGTAGTCCAGTGTTCCACACATGGTGCGACGTCTGGGAAGGTTTAAAGCAAGAGGTGAGTGGGGAAGGCAGCAAAAAACAGATGTATGCAACAGCATACAGCAGCAGACAGACGTTTTTTACAGGGCATAGTGGTGCATTGACACTATGATTACTCACCTCAGAGAAGGTGCATGAACAGACCAACCAAAATCAGCAATTTTCAGCTCTCCGCGATAGCCGAGAAGCAGATTCTCTGGCTTGATGTCACGATGAATCACTTTCTTCTCATGGCAATACATTAGAGCATCAGATATCTCCTCCATGTACTGCAAATTTAAAGAGGTTAACACTGAATTATGACATTTAAATTTAAACACACACAATACAAGCAATGTAGTTCATCAAGTCCAGTAAACTGCCTAGGATGAAGTAAGGATGTGCAAATTACTCCTGAACAATGAACAAACTTGGTTCATCTCTTACTGTGGCAGTACGCTGGTCATCAAATCTTCCACATCTCTGCAGCTCTTTGTACATTTCACCACGTGGGGCGTACTCTAGCACTAAGAACACCCTTTTGCGGTCATGGAAGTAATTGTAGAAGCGCAGAATGTTGGGGTGCCTGAGGAGAAAATAGAGTATATTTTTAGGTAGAGTGTTGTTGAAGGTATTTCCAAAACCAAGTGAAAGACATTCAAAGTCAGTGTATTCATATTACAAGAAATCAAAATCCCTATTTGAGCAAGATGTGTGAAGAAGAATTGAATAAATGTTAATCTGGTATTTCAGAAATGAACCATCAGTTACTCTGCTGAAACAGTGCTGCCAGTATTTTGCAGGGTTGTACTAGTTATTTTGTGATAAACTGGAGTAAATGTTTATTAAAATGCAAATGCTACTGCCTAAAAGAGCACAGATAACCATCATACGACATGCAAGAAGAACACAAATGTTCCTCCAAAACTGTACATGCATCTAACCTGGCATCTCATTGGTTAACCTACCATTAAAATTTGCAAAACATTATTCACATAAAACGTTGCAGCAATCGTTTCAGTTTGCAATTCACAGTAAAGATATGAAGCACAAAATTAAACCACTGTTCATCTGACACCTTGTATATTATATAGATAAATGTTAGAAGTTGATGAATGTTCAGAGGGGCAGAGAATAGTAGCAAATAGTCTTCCAGGAAATGTATGAACTAAGATATTTTGCCCTGAATTAAGCCCCTCAAGTACTCAGCATTTGTCTTCTAAACATAGCTAAATAACAACCCACATCAGACAACAAAAAATGTTCTTTCAGGATACTAACTTGAGATGGGCCTGAATCTCAATCTCCCTCCTGAGTTGATGCTCCACACCCTCCTTTTCCATCTGTGACTTGAACAACACCTTCAGCGCCACGATGGCCTGCAGCTTCTTTACTCTTGCAAGGTAAACATTACCAAACTTGCCCTTCCCTAATGGTCGACCGATGTCGAAGTCATCAATGGAGACTTTCCTGTAGAGAGTGCAAACACAAACATTCTTGTGCTAACCATTCAAAGAGTTGAGGCCATCACTTTGATGAAAACAGATCAGGATAGCAATACACAACTGGAGGGGTAGGAGTGAATACACTTACTTTGAAGCTGAACTGGATGAGCCAACACACTCTCTCCCAGGGCCTAAAAATGACAATACAATCAAAACAGAAAGATTTGTTGAAGTTTGAATGGTATCTGTATGTGAGGAGGCAGAGGTTACCTGTGATGGCATTTTTGTCCATCTCTGCTCGTGGCTTCACCTGAACACGCTGTGGGCCTGCCACCATGCTAGGGGTTGTAAACTGATATTCAGAAGCAAAAACACAAACATGCAGTTATTAAGGGATTTATTGACAATAAACTTCAATTAGCTAGCAAACAATACTGATTTTGAATATTTTCACACCACATCAGCCCATTTGATACACCTTTTTCCTTGGTGTTGGTACAAAAGGTAATCACAGATGAGATATTCATTAAGCACAGTGGGCAAATCTAGACATCTTTTTATAGCCATTACTACTTACCGGTCTTGGGAAATCCCTGGGCTCATAATTTTCCTTATTCTGTAAAGAAATAAATACAGACAGCTCACATTAACCTCCAGTGCATTTGAGTGGAGTGTCTTATCATTCAGACTTATTTTTAGCTTCAAGTTATATTACTTATTTTAGACAATGTCCAGGGTATGTATAGCAAGCAGGGTGTTGAGGAAAACAGTCCATCAACTTAAAACACCCAAGGTGGCTCTGATTCTGAGGGTTTTTCCTGCATAGACTGAGGCTGGCTGAGTGGTATTAGGGCTCAACTACTTTCGCTGTTTATTGGGGATTTGTAGTTGCTTCAAGCGTCAGGAAGAGGGAAGACATTTTGATCTTTCTGACTTCCCACTTTCAGGATATTTTCTCCACCTTGACAACACACCCTTCAACACTGGACTGCATTAGACTGTATAGATGGCCCTTTTTGTCTGTTACTTCAGTGTACATTTTCAATATCTGTGAATGTATCAGACTGGGTAGACTGTGAAGCTGAAAATTTAACTTTGTAATGTTAAAAGTTTCTACTACATTTAGGTAAGGTAATACAACGCAGTTTATGTGTAATATAAAATATGATTCATCACCACATTGATTAATTAGATTTTGGTTTAAGTCGTTCACTTAGATACAGTAAATGTCCTTAAATAGGCATGTTTCTGTAGTTAAACAATGAGAAGAGATCGGTAACGTTAGGCCACAGTTAAAACCTTTGCCTTGTTTGTGGGGTAGCGCCTGAAACATAGACTTACATTCAACACCATCGAATTACATTGAATAAAGCCACTTATGTTTATCTTCTGTCATATACATACATTATACAAGGGTTGTTGTAATGTTCAACTCAAATTAAGAGACGTTATGCTACATTTAGGTTAGCTCAATAGGGTAGCTGGCAAACCTAACGTTAGCTACCTAGCTAAAATCCGCGACAACTGAAAGAAGCTGCTCGGAGTTCTCAATTGCTGCCCAGTCCAACCTCGCTACCAAAAAAGTAAAATACCAAATTACCTGCATCGTAATGAAGATACGGACTATTAACTTTCCAGCGTGTAAAGCCCAGTCCTAATATTTTTGAACTTCTTCGGCCGCCAACGTTTTCAAAAGCCAACCTTCACGACCGCGATTGGTCGGTATGCCTCACATAGAAGGCTCCCATTGGCCAGAATTGCTGCAGGAGAACGCGTGTGATTGGTGAACACCGACGATACAGCGATATGGACCCGCCTTCCTCTCCTGTTTCCTTTTCCTGATTCTTTTAACAGCGGTGAAGAAGTGTTCACAGTGTCGTTACTTTATTATTGTTTTCAGTCGAGGCCTGGCCAAAGTAACTGAACCCTATCGCTGTTTGCGTTTCCTTTGTAAAAGAGAATGAACATCTTTATGCTTGTGATGTCAACTATAAAGTTTCAAATTTGAGCTCACCCACCATGGCCCCTTTTGTCCCTGGTGTTTCTTTGTAAGATGATATTTTTATTAGTGAAAATATCTGGGGCTGCAACTAACAAAAAGAAAAAGAAAAAAAAAAAAATCAAATATCTACAAGTTCATGATAAATCAAATAACCGTCTATTCAATGAAAGGTCAAAAACAATTTGAGGAAAATGCCCATAATAATTTCTCAGAGCACAAAGTGACATCTTCAAATGTTTTCTTTAGCTCAAAATTTGAAGATTCAAAGATTTACATCTTTCACAATAATAACATTTCCGATTATATAAAATAAAGATGAGCAGAGAATCCTTCCCGCAGAGAATCTGGAACCAAAGAAAGTAATGTTTTTCAATGAAAAATAACTAAAATGATTGATTCACTATCCAAATTAGTGGCTATTTTATGCTAATCAATTATTTGATTAATCAACTAATCATTTCAGCACTAACAACATTCTTTTTGTTGTAGATCCCAGATGTGTGAACAAGCTAAACTCTACTGCAGCTTCATAACATCTTAATATGACACAACAATTTATAACATTTTCCCCAATTAGAATATATGCTGTTAACTTATGTTTTTCGTTTAATGAGTGTGAATTGAATTTGATGAAAGGTCAGGCTGTAATTAAAAAAAAAGATCTTTATGTTTTAAGAGAATGAATCTATTAAATGACAAAATACAAAAACAAATTATACCACAGGATTTATTTGTTCAAAATAGATTTATTCAAAACAGTTTCTCATTTAAATTTTCAAACATCTATAACTGTGCTTTAAATGACAATTCATGTCAAGGATGCACATCTTCCATGTTTTCTCTCAATTACACAATCAACAGACATTTACATTTAACATTGTTATTTCATAATTTCTAAAAAGCATATAGGTAAAGAAATTGGAAAAATGACAGGGGATTGGGACATGATACAGATGAATTTACATATGGTATGCTGTTGTTCTGTAACACCAGAACCAAACACCTGTTTGTAACTGACATTGTGTCTGAATGTATACATTGTTGAACAGGAGTTAAAGTACAGGAAACAGGTGGATTGCCAGCAGTATGTTTCAGTTGTCTGCCTTTGTATCTGACACCTGCTTAAGTCTTTACAGCCTAGCAGCGACAGTTCCATATTTTGTGTCATATTGTGACTGAGTTTAAAACACTAAGCTAAAAGCTTGTCTATTTTTGTTCATATATACCATGCTTGTTTTTTTCATGTGAACAATCAATTTGGAAGTGAGACTGTCCACTGATTTACCTCAAAGACAGTGAGTAACAATACAGACAATATAAACTGTAAAATCATATATTTGTCAACATCAGAGATTTTTCCAAAGTGTTTTCAATGCGATAGCTCCAACTTCAATATACAGTATATGGGTCTCTGAGGACAAAAGCATGGTGCTTTGTGGCAACATGACTTTTTCATCAAGGTAATGAAGTACCTTAATTTGTCAGGTATTTTCAATGTGCTGGATTAACTTCTGGTTATTTTATCCAGAGATACTTTATCATTTGATTTTCAATTTAAAATGCTATATCACAATATATAGCTACATTAAAAGTAAGCTTTTATTCAAGTGAAAGGAGTCTCTTATGCTTCAGGCCCTCCACTTACGGCAACTGGCCATCTCAGCTTTTATTCAAGTTTTATTCAATCCACACATGTCTACTAACCCTAATCCTCACCCTAACCCTTAAATTGCAAAGTTGACACCTGGTATTCCTCCTCTGGCTACGGAGGTTGGCAGATTCAAAAGTATCCACGGGTAAAACAGTCTCAAAAGCCTGGAAGAGAAAACAAGATGGACTATTAATTAAGAGTTTACTCTGATTTCTCCAGTATTACACTGTAGTTGTTTTGTCAGTGTTTTTTTTTTATTTTGTTGACACAAAGGTCAGAAAATCTGGTTGTTTGAAAAACATATGTTGCACCCTGGAACTGGCTCATATGAGATTATGACATATTGGAAGACAATGTGGGCTGGGCATACTTATAATCATGACACAATAATAAAAATGAATGTTAACCATTTCATCGATAATGCTATAAAAACTACACGTCTGTGTGAAAGAGAATTTTAACCATTTTGGCCACTTGTATTCATCAGTAGTGGAGACGTCATTTAGTCTGCATTAATCTGAACAGAGCAGTTGGTGAAAACTAGTGTGCAGGATGGCAGCAGGACAGCCAGTGAGCGGCGCACACTTGGAATAGGATCGTTCACATCCAGCGTCTTGTTCTCATCATTGTTGCTATCTCCACCTGCAGCTTCTTCACTGCCCTGCTCTTCTTCACCGCCACCTTCCCCTTCCAACACTGGTGGACACTGCCGAGGCTGGAAGCTCACGTCCAAAAACTCCAGCCGCCGGAGTCCACGAAGCATACGGCAGCTCCGAACTATCTGCATCTCGCTGAGAGTACAGGCCCACAGGCGCAGACGCTTCAGGTCCTTTAGACGGCTGGCACAGAGTAGACCTGGCCCCACCTCTTTACCACCCAGGCTCAGTTCCTCCAGGCCGAGCCATCCTGCCCCTAGCCCCAGGGAGGCCATCTGTGACTGGTAGCCCTGCCGCCCAGTGATTCCTATTTCTAGAAACTTGAGCCTGGAAAGACCTTCCACACCACAGATGCCGTCCTTGGCAGCACAGCTCCTGAGCCCGTTAGCTGTTATGCGAAAGGTATCACGCAGCTCCAGTCGACTGAGCCTCTCCCATGATGTCAGACTCTGCAGGTGTTGGTCCGTGAAAGAGGGTACATTGTTAAGGACTAATGTTTCAATAGGAATCCCTGATGGAGTACCAAGCTTTTTTCCTTTCTGATCCTGCCCTTTCTGTTGAGCACCAACACTGGACGTGGCTTCTGCTCTTTCTTGGGCAGGTGAAGTAGGCAGTGCCTGGTTGAAAAAGCTGCGAGGCAGCTCACAACCACGCAACTCCAGCACTTGCAAAGACGGAGGTAGAAGCTGGCAACTGGACAGGCTCCTCAGGTCTGCATGCAACAGATAGAGCTTACTCAGGCGAGGGCACTTTGTGGCCAAAGCTTTGAGCCAAGACTCCGAGAGAAAGCTACCGCCTCGGGCAGAGAGCAGCAACCCACGCAGCCGAAGGCATCTTAGTCCACAACCAAGGTACTGACGCAGCAGGACCCAAAGTATGCGGGACGTCACCTTGTACGCAGTGGACAGTCCACGAATATGTGTGAGTGTTGAGAATAAAGGATGGGAAGCAAAAGAGAGAGTTTCTGTCAATCCATTTGTAATCGACTTCTATAGAGTCTAATGGTAAGACGTATACATAAAATACATATACAACATAAAATGTTACACTTCAAATTAAAACATTAAAAACGATCTTTTAACGTAATGAATACAAGTGGATAGTGCCTAATATTTTTCTTCTGGATATTTAACTCTGTGGTGCATGAGTACTTTAACTCTTTTAGGCTACAACCCACAGGAAACCAGTTTCATTTTTGTATGGTTCCTTGTCTTGCACTTGTCAAGATTTAAACAGCAAAACAAAACAACAATCTAGTGTACAGATTATCAAATATGTTAATGGTTTTTCAGTTTTAATGCATGGAAGTTTGCTAACATTGTCTCAAAAGCCTGGGAAAAACAACAAGATTGATTATTTTAGCAGCAGCTTTCTGAATGAGAAAAGTCCTGAGCTGAGACCTAAACCTGATGGCAATGAAAGCATGAGCAACTTTTGTAAGCAATGGTTAGACATGAATCCTCTATACTTTTATGTATTTTTAAGATGGTAGCATGCAGACTTTATCAGTGACTTGATGTGACTGTCAAAGATTCTTGACTTGGTTTTAGGTTTTCAAAGACTCTTAGCCTTTCCTCTTTATCGCCAAAGAAAGTGATAAAGTTGTGGCTATTGGAACATCTGATTTCACGTAGGAACTGTGTGTTCTGTATGGCTATTTTTTTTTTTGTTATTGTGGATGTGTTGTGTGGCTATGTTAATCCAATAGAAGATCCAAATGAAAGATGAAAAGGTAAATAAAAACTGAAAGATTAACGTCACATTGTAAGTAACTTACCCCTTTCCATGTCGTCAGATCGACATGTCTCCACAGTCTCTGGTCTTTAACAAGACGTTTCCATCTCTTACACACTCTAAAAACACCGTAAAATGCAACAAAAAACTTAATCATGTGACTTGAGTCAGAACAAAGGCAAAGCTGGCAGAGTTTTATTTCACAATACGAATAACTGGTAAAACACTGGTCGGCAAAGTTACATTTCTCTTACCTTCCAGCTTTGACGAGCTCCCGTACGCTCAGAAACGACAACACATCAATTAAAATGTTCTCGGGAAAGTAGTCCAGATTACAGAGTTTAAATTCTTCCATTTTGTAAACAAAACTCTTTAGACCTTCGACACGGACTACTATCACGACGCACACAGGTTGCGCCCAAATCAGCAATCCCCAGGAAACAGCTGCCCATTGACTGTAGGACCTAGCGGTAATTACCCGGTTAAATCAAAAATCTTTCCTTTGGCGCAACATAACGTATCCCGGTCGAAATCCATTTGTCTTGTAAACACTTGGTAGATTTATGACAATAATTATGCGGTAGCGCTAATTTTAAAATTTCCTTATGTGGCGACGTTGCCGCCTAACGTTCGTTAGGCGAACACTCCACTGCGCCTGCGCGAAATACCGGACAAGATGGCGACCAGCAATGGTGGAGGAATGGAAGTGGATGGGGCAGGCGAGTATTTCTCACTTATTTAACAATTTCTGCCCGATATCAACATTGACCTACGTGCAAATTGTGGCAGGTGTTGTATATTTGTGTTATGGGAGGTGCGAAGAGATGCCTTCGTGGTTTTAAAGGTGGCAGGTAGCGGGTTGGCCGATATAAGCGGGTTAACGTAAAGTAAATCTGCTCTAAAAGCTGTCAACAAATAAGTCATATTGGATTTTTGATCACTTCTCCTCTCATCTCTTAGTGTAGTTTGGATCGGTAACACAAACCTAAATCCATCACCACATGCAGGTTGGGGAGAGAACTCATTACCTAGCTATAACAACAACCCAATCTCAAAATAGGGCTGGTCTTGGATGCCCTCTGTCCATGAGATGAACCGATATATCGGCCTATCTGCAAAGTTCATCCCCACAGACACATTTTAAGACATGAATATAAAACACTGCTTTGAATAACAACTAATTCCACAGAAAAATCTTATTACCCTATTTTAAATGTTTAAATTTACATCTATTTCAAACAGACCTGAGCCACACGTCCTCCTCCAAAGTATGTGATCTGGAAAGAGTATAGACTAGACACAAATACATGAGAGGCAAACTCAAGCACACCATTTGCACATATTCACACAGAGGGTGGGAGAGAGAGAGAGAGAGAGACAAGGAAAAAACATGCACACAAGGGAGAGAGAGTGAGAAAGAGACAAAAGGAGAGGCTGAACCTCCAGAAGGATGAAGATCCAGATCCAAAATATCTGTAATGAGGCACCAACTGCCAGAGGGGGAGAGGGTGAGGTCCCAGGACGGCTGATGGTCCAACACAGAGAACCCGAGTTAAAAGAGAGAACAGGGAGAGGAAATGGGGGATTTAGATTGTGCACAGAGAAACTTTCCTCCCTCAGCAGTTGAATGTGAAAACAGTCTTCTGGTGTCATCATTCTCCACAGTGAGGATCAAACATCCAATTGAATGAACAAGAAGAAAACATATTTTTCTGACTATAGCTTTATTGTAGTTGTTGTAGATTTAAAGCTCCTCCTGTTTGTGTCTCTGTGTAACTGTAGCCAGCCCCAGTGTTATGGCCTCAGGGGTCACCGGGAGCGTTTCCGTGGCCTTACACCCTCTGGTTATCCTCAACATATCCGACCACTGGATACGCATTCGCTCACAGGAGGGACGACCAATGCAGGGTATGTATGAGAACGTTTCTGCAAGAAAAATGGCTTGTGTTAGAGTGGTGCGTACCTCATCTCTTGTTGCTCTGTGAGTGTAATAAAATAGATAATTACAGTAGGTGCTGTTCATTTTGTTTTCTCCTCTGCTCAGTGATTGGAGCCCTGATTGGGAAGCAGGAGGGTAGAAACATTGAGGTGATGAACTCCTTTGAGTTGCTGTCTCACACCATAGATGAACGAGTGCATATTGACAAGGAGTATTATTACACCAAGGAGGAACAATGTAAGTGGTGTTTATGTGTCAAGGGCAGGAATACACTTCTGTTAGTGCATTTACTTTCTTTTATGACTTTTTGTCAGGTGCTTGCTGTAGTTTTTCTATAATATTCAATCTCATCTCTCAGTCAAACAGGTTTTCAAAGAGATGGAGTTCTTGGGTTGGTACACCACAGGCGGTCCCCCCGACCAATCAGATATCCACATTCATAAGCAGGTAGGCAAAAGTTAAAGGTGCAATATGTACAGTAAATCTGAATGAAAGCAGAAGATGGGTATCTTTAACTCCTCTCAGATCTTCGCTTACTCAGTCTGTAGCAAGTGCAGTCCTGTTGCAGCCGTGACCTTGATTGGTCAGATAACAGTAAATATAAAAGCAGTGGCTTTAATATTGAAGAGACAGACAAATTTAATTAATCATTCATTTGTATCCACTACAGAAGTTGTGTTAGTTGAATTCCAACACGGTATCAATTAGACTTTTTTAATTTTGTTGTCGGTAGTAAAAGAAAAGTCATCTTACCTCATCAGATTTTTTTTTTTTTTTTTTTGCCTTTTCTTACTGTTGTTTCCCTCTCCTCCTCCAGGTGTGTGAGATCATTGAGAGCCCTCTCTTCCTCAAGCTCAACCCAATGACCAAACACACCGACGTGAGTTGCTCTGATTTCTTTCCCTTGAAGTGTGAGAAAATAGCACAGTTTTGCATTAGATACAGCTGCTCTAAACTATGCATCCTTTCTGCTTTCAGCTTCCTGTTAGTGTTTATGAATCTGTGATTGACATCATCAATGGAGAGGTACTGTTTATATCTAATATCATCTACATATTTTTTCCTGTGAAGGGACCCTCTTTCCCTAAGAGAATAGTTTTATCTCATATGTTTTGGTGTTTTTTGTTGTTTTTTTCTCCCAGGCTACCATGTTGTTTGCTGAGCTGACGTACACTCTGGCCACAGAGGAAGCAGAGAGAATCGGTGTTGACCACGTAGCTCGAATGACAGCCACTGGCACAGGAGAAAACTCGACAGGTTTGTCAACCGAACTGTCACTACTGCTCTACTGCTTTAAAGGTTAAAGTGAGTGAGTTTACATGCACTGCAGTGTCCTATTATCTGTAAACCATCTTCACTTGTTTTTAGAGTCGCTTTAATTAAGACTGTTTATGTAACAGTTATCCATAAAAGCGCTTATCTCTGCTATTATCTCAGATTTATGATGAATCGAAATGAAATGGCTTTTCCAGCCATTACTAGCTGAGATACTGGTGGAGTTTCTTACAGTTATGATTTGTTACATTTCAGAAATGGTGTTCTGAATATGTTGTACTATATATTTATGAGTAGAATACGAAGAAGCTCTGCTTTCAAGTTAAAGACAAAAAAACCCTGATTTGGTCAAGCAGCAGTGCGTTAGTCCAGGCTCTGGGCTGTTATATGATGTTTTCAGTTACATAAGCCGCTGCACCCAAAGGACTCATTTCTGCAGGCTGTTCTGAACACAACTGTAAATTAATTTCTTTCTGGAGGACAGTGTGGGAGATTCTGGCATCTCTTACATATATCTGATTCTTCAGTGCATAATCAGTGGATTTTATCAGTTATTTATGTAATGAAGATATTATGTAGACCTATACTAACTAAAACACCCCAAATTAATATTGATAACAGAAAAAAATAACAAAACTTCCTACGTTTATTTATAAGAAGTCAAGTCTTCATTTAAAAATTTTATAAATTTGAAGCATTCTCTCTTATTCCATGCAAATTAGTCATTGGAATTAGAGAGATGTTGTGTTTACTGTCCCATATAGAGCAGTCTCATATAAAAGCAATTCAAGTCTTTACATAGTAATAAATCAGTGGGAAATAAACACAGATACAGACTGTCAGCATGCTTATAACACAAAGAAATGTAAAAAATACAAACGCTAAACTAAACAGAAATGTCTTCTGTATCACTAGATTTTGAATGAACCCTAGAAATGTGATGGAAACGACTTCTATGACCTGACTAATATTACACAGTGCCAGTAAAAATGGATCCTGTCTGAAAAGGTTTTAAACTCTGATATTTTGTGTCTCTTGTTAGTTGCTGAACACCTTATAGCCCAGCACAGTGCGATAAAGATGCTCCACAGCCGGGTGAAGATCATTCTAGAGTACGTCAAAGCCGTGGAAGCAGGTGAGAGAACTGACAGGGCCTTTTGATGAGGCAGCGCAGTGAGAGCAAAGAATGTGAAAATAAGTCTGGAAAACAGCTGCTTTTAAATGAGATGTTTCCTTTCCTCATTTTTACGCCATTATGGGAGGCCCCCTCGAACAGACCTCCATAATTACAAGTGCCTGTTTGATAGCATCTTGACAGCATCATCTTACCTCGCTGTTTTAGTGTAGTGCTTTACAAGTTTTGCTTTTTCTCTCTTCTGTCTGTTTCCACGTGCTGTAGGAGAGGTGCCATTTAACCATGAGATCCTTCGAGAAGCGAATGCCCTGTGCCACAGACTGCCGGTCCTCAGCACCACGAAATTCAAAACTGACTTCTATGATGTAAGCAAGCTTTGTTATGCCCCACCTACAAACATAAAGAATAGCCCTAATGGATGGTGATGCTTTCATCAAAATAGCAGATGTTAAAGAATGAAGCTGGTGTCACTCTACATTTTTCTTATTATCAACAAAGATCAAAAGCAACAATGCAAAACAAGAAGAATAGAGGGGGTGGGGTAGGTGCGTTCACGGTTGCCTCTGAGATCATTACAATGTGATGGATTTACAAATAATGATAAACATGATTGTTACAGTGTCTTTTTGACTGGACAGTTTAGAATCTAGTGTTAGCATAATTCAGAAGTGTCTGCTGTGTTTTCTTAACATTTTCAGGGAAACCAAAAAGCACGTCTCAGCTTTTATATAGTTTCATTTTTTAGAAGAGGCTCAGTAATTTCCTAAAACAACAGGGTATAGTAGTTTTCAGCAAACATCACTCAAACAAAAGTAAATAGTGTATTTGTTGGGAATTTTTTTCAGCTGTGGATTAATACAAATTTGTTGCCCTAGTATTTCCAGTAGCAGGACAAATAAACTACAACACTTACTGAGTGTGTTCCTAGTTTTGGACAAACTTGAGGTCTATGGCAAAGAGGAATAAACTCTCAGGCTTTGGATACACAGACAATTTTCATAAAAATTAGTTGAAAAATATAGAATATTACTGGAAAATCTTCAGTGTTCAACAGCAGCAAGAAACAAAGCTGAACAACGCAGATTCTTTTTACCACTCTCCTTAATCCCTCGTGTTAATATTCGGCAGATATTCATAGAAATAGGATTGTTATATGATCACTGTTTGTAGTGAATCTCCGAGTTGTACTGCCAAACAAATGCTTTCTGTAACTCTGCCTCTGGTTTCCCTGCAGCAATGTAATGATGTGGGCCTCATGGCCTACTTAGGCACCATCACCAAGACCTGCAACAGTATGAACCAGTTCATCAACAAGTTCAACGTCCTGTACGACAGACAGGGCATCGGCCGGAGGATGAGAGGACTCTTCTTTTGAGCCGGCAGTAAGCCGAGGCAGAGACAAACAAGCACTGCAGTTTCTTTTTCTCTGTTTTGTCTTTGGGGTTTTTTTTTTTTGGTTTGTTTGTGTTTTGGTTAGCTAAGACAAATTCTCACACCAACAGTAGCTTTTCAAACCAGTTTACCATTTTCAACCACAAGTGTGTCTAAAAGCACTTAATTACACCAATCAGTAAGAGGCTCTACTCTCTCTCGGGTATGCACATAAAATGAATCCACTGTACATGAACATTATATTATTTTACCCTGTTTGTTTTATTGTTTCATGTTTCTGTATGTAATAAATGATCTGCTGATTTTTTTCATGGGACTTTGACTCTTCTTCTTTCTAAGCTTAAATGATTATAATAGTATAGTATACTATAACTATACCGAACACACAGCTCATAAAAACGTCAGACCTGCACTTTTAAATGAGCCTATGAAAGTCGGCTTCGTGCAGAGGTGGTTTAGCTGCAGGTTTATTGTCAGGTTTATTGTGTTTGCAGTTAGCTCGTCTTTTGAAGTTGTGTTCCTGCTGTTCGATTGCCTTTGGAGGTTTTGGAAAGACAGGCATACGCAGCAGGAAAAGGGAGCAGGGGGGAGTTATGGCTGCAGAGTTGGAGGTCTAAGAGTCAGCATTTATATGAACTAGACATAACGACCCCCCAGCCTGCATGTTGGCTTTGTGAGTCTGCTCTTACCTGCCATGTGGCAATAGAAGGAGCAAACATTTTCTTCTTTTCGAAAGCATAGAAAGTGAAAACACAACTTCTTCACTGAGGAAAAGCACTTTTTTCACATTTTATTACGTCTCAAAGACCATCTGCATTACATACTTGTATTGACTGCTTTTTTACATGCTGACAGTGATGGTAAATACACAAAGTTGTCAATTTAATAATAAGGTTTAAACAAACGCTGCAACTTTTCAATGCTTTGGCACATGATGTTTTCTGTGACCGTACACTTGCAGGGAAACTACAAGCTAAAAAAAAAAACACCACAAAATATGGAAATTGTGCAACTTAGATGTTTTCTATCAAAGTCTTGTGTGTTTAAAGAGAAACACCTTTCCTCCGACACATCCTGGATGTTTTACTGACTGTCCTCTGCAGGCTCATCAGCAGCAGCAGCAGGCTCTGGGTACTTGAAGCGGGCTGGGTCGTACAGATCATCCCTGGGGTCGTAGGGCATAGGGTAGTAGTAAGGGTAAGGGTAAACGGTTAATTTCTTCTCGATGGGTGCAGGAGGGGGTGGCTCCTCAACGGGCTCCTCCTTCTCTTCCACAGCAGGGGGTGGTGGTGGTGGTGGCGGAACCATAATCTTCCCTTTGATAGGCCTGGGTGGGTGGTCAATCAGGCAGTCGGGGTCCCAGTAGGGATCACAGTCGTACTCCATGCCCTTGAAGGTGCGGATGGGGGCAGGGGGAGACTTCTTGACGAGGACTGGCGGAGGCGGAGGTGGGGCGGACTTCTTTGGTGGAGGTGGAGGAAGTTGAGGCACTGCCACAGGGGCTGGTGGAGCCTTCTGGGGGGAACAGTGGGGGTGGTAGCGGGGGTCGCAGAGCACGGGCACGGCGCCGGTGGGCATGTAGACAATGTGGGGCTTGCAGAGGGGGTCCTTTTTGTTGCACAGGTACAGCACATCAGCCTGGGAAATAAATGGAGCCAGAGGAAGAGGAGGAGGGGTCACTGGGGGCTCTGTGGGCTTTGGGACCCCTTTCATCGGGGGTGGAGGAGGAATAACTTTGCACTTCTTGTCTGTAGCTGGGTCGCACATGATCATTGGCACCCCCAGTTTGTTCTGGAAATAGGAGGCGTTGGGGCCGTAGGTGTGCTCCAGGTACCTCATCTGCTGGTAGAGCATCCGCAGCTTGTCGATCTCATAGAGCTGAGAGGGGAACACACAATCAATTCACCTATAAACCTTTATGAAGATGGAGTTTATATTTATAGATCATATTCACATTTTGATTGATTGATATTCACCATGAGAGCAAAAAATCTTTGTCACAGTTTTCCTTCAGTGCGTGGGCAGTTAAAATCTGGATATTATCTAAACTGTGTTTTTATGCAGCTATCTTGACAATATCTCTCTTTAAAACCAGATTTGAATCTAAAAAAACTTCCACCTAATTGAATAAGGAAATATTTCCCTTCACAACTGAGTGTTAGTTGAGTGGTAATGATTGGAATCTGAACAAATATGAACATGGTCCCACAATCTGAGGTGCTGATTTCTCCTTTTCCAATCATTACAGAGGTCAGACCTCCAGAATAAGGGGTGTAAGGAGGTCAAGGGCATCACCCAGAATGAGAATGTGTACACTTACATTTATAAATGATCATATCTTTACATGTAGCCTGTAGAGTGCTGGTGTCTTACCCCCTCAGTGTGTCCGATGCTGCTGTAGTATCTGTAATAAGACTGGAAGTCTGGGTTTCCTCTGTACCATCGAGAGTCCGCGTTACGCTTTGGTCTGGAGTGAGTCAGGAAGTCATTTGCTTTCTCTGAGTCAATATTAAGATGACTGAGAGGAACCATTTCTGTTAAAAGAAGAGACGATAACTTTATAGTCCTTTCAAAAAAAAAAAAAGTGCTTCAAGCACAGTACTGTTGAAGAGCCGGACACAGAGATGAATTTTTGAACTGAGAAGGGATTTAATATCTGCAGTTACCTTCCTGCTTGATGGCAGTCAGTAATGATTTGGCCTCCAGAAGCCCTGGAAGAGGAAACAAATTACTTGTTGGGTTTTAATCTCCCAAAATTTTGAGACATTTGTTTTTCAGCAGTTGTACAATAAAGAATCAGAACTGACCTGGGAGCAACGTCAGACAGCAGAGAGCCCCCCCCAGCCATAATGTAGAAATCATCTTGAACCCCTGCAACATACAAGGAAAAGAAATACAGTCCACTCAAAAGCATTGCTATTTTATTATTAAAGTAATAATAAAAGTAATATTTATACACCACTATTCACAAATAACATATTAAAGGATATAAAGGCAAATTCTGTCCTCTGCTCCCTTTTCTTACTGAAATGGAGGCTGAATGAGATTGAACTGTTTTACAATATACACAAAAAACATTCATCTTTATGTATACCCACATATCAGTGTACATTTCTTAAGACACATAATTGTGTCACTATGAAATATAATAAAAAGCAGCTACAAAAGATGGAGTTGTACCATGTAACTGAATAACACCCTGTTTCTAGTTAAATGATCCAACACCGTGATCACCTCAATACATCAGTCCATGTTTTACTCACCTGGCTCAGGAGGCTGTCTTCACTGGACTGACAGGGCTGAGTGGGTTAAATACTGAGCTCTGGGTTGGTCACGCTGAAACGTTATCTCCTGTCCAATAGGATTTCACTACCTTTGACACCAAAATCTTGTCTCCACCTCTCTCTTTAATACCGTTTAATATGGGGCCTTTGGCGCCAATTAAGAATAAAAAAGCCCCCGGACTTCAGCAGTGAAGCCATAAAGAGAACAGACTTCAAATGGAAACTCCCCATTAAGTCAGGAAGGAAAGCATCACCTGCTGGGACAACTGCAACTGTGGGGAAAATGCTGCCTACTAACACTATATCTCAGCCAAAAAAAACTGTAAAAAAATCATAGATAACAACCCGCACAGCCTTGAATGTGCCTTTATAATGAGCTGTTACAAGATTTCTAAAATGCTCTCAGATCCTAAAGGTGGTTATTTTTTACCCAGAGAACACCTGCTTTTCGTACTTTGTGACTATGAGGATGGTTATCGCCTTAGTAGAAAAAAGGCTAGACTAAGACTACGACTACATTCTTACAGGATGCTGTCATACAAAACATGACATGTCATACAATTGCATGTTAGTGAGCTGATGCAAAGAGAGTTTCAGGGTTCTCATTCAACTTGAAAACTATATAACTATATACCAATGCAAAATAACTCACACATTACTACAGTATACAGCAAATACAATCACAGTTTTGACAAAACATGGCAGTAGAATTCATGTAAAATCCACTGTTCTGGTGACTTACCACTGAAATCATTCTAGTTTCAGCTTCTTCTACATGATGCACTATGATGTTACAGTTAAAATCAGCTCCACTTTGACCAACCACAACAGTAAAATACTGCACACACATTAATACATTAGCAATAATCAAATTTATATTAGTGTAAGTCACTGGTGTTTCCTTTCAGTACCTTTGATACATCAAATATTGCTGATAAAACCTTCATACTTTCACTGCATGAGTTCTGTTTTTACAGCATGACATTCCCTTTTCTGAATATGAACACTTCCTCTGCTGCCGTCTTGGTCTTTCATGATAAACTGAATGTTTTAGACAGATGGACAAACAAGCTAATTTAAGATGACACCTCGGGCTTAAAGTAGCTGCAAAAGGCATTTTCCATCATTTTTATGGACTAAACTATAATGAAAATAATCGTTAGTTGCAACCCTGTATGTTAGCATGTTTTATGAGCAAGACATGTAAAAAGTGTTACTGAAAGCAGCAATTATGTCAGAGCTGCTCTAGTAACAAACCAGGTGTTCAGAGGTGATTGTGGCACTTTTTCTTCCCACTTCATGTTCACACAGGAGACAAAATGAACCAAATACAGCATAGTATTGAACCAACAATTTATTATAACTATTGTAACAATACAAGGCTCAATGTTAATTTATCTTGCCTGATTTGCATTATAAAGTATAAAATGTACAGACATGTTCCATTTCAGCCGGAAGCTTTAAGCTCTAAGCTGCAGATAGCACAATACCAAAAAGTTCTGACATATTTACAAGCCATTTACTGGTGAACAGGAATCTTAAACATAAAACTCTATTGACCTCCAACAGCAGGATATTCTTGCAAAAATAGTCATGCTTAGAAAATGTCCAGGTTCAGCTTGACTTTTGTTACAAAATGCTGGAGGAGGAAAAATAAAGAGCCACAATACAAGTCTGTAGAAAACCCACGATAAAGAGTTTTCCCCTCAGGTGTCTGAAACCCGGCACGCACAAAGATGTGTCCCAGGTTCTTCAGACGAAGGTGATGCGGGTGTGGGCCTGGTTGACCTGCCACACGTTCAGCTCCTCGTACTCCTCCAAGGCCTCCTGGAACTGGGCGGGGGTGAAGCCACGAGAGACGCAACGCTGCTCCGCCTCAGCCATGCGAACGACGCCGCCGGCTCCACCACGGCCCGCCACGCCCTCTGCGGCGAGCTCACGAACCAGAGAGAAGATGACATCGGCTGGACGCTGAGTCCTGTACAGGAAGAATGAGAGTTCAGACGTTTAGACTCAGTGGAGGAAAAGTTTTGTTCACACAGACTGAGATCAGTGTCAAGTACATGTTTAAAATGGAACCTGTACAAAGTGAATGTTCTTTTAGAAAAGGTCGGGTGTTTCCACTGCGATGTTTTCACAGCACAGATTAAACAAGATACATGTTTGTTAGTGAGGTTTTGGTGCTGCTGGAGCTGGTGGATGGATTTTGTGGCAGGCAGGCGTGATATTGTTGAACGACTAGGAAACTGCACAGTTTCTTACAATCCCAGGAAGACATCATGGTGTTTCACTTTATTGATCACATAAGTTCCACAAATAGTAACAAATGAAAGAGCTTGAGAGAGAAGATCAAACCCAGTGTACTTTCCCACCTCAGCACAGATGTCACTCATGGTGCAAAGTGGGTGTGAATGGATCATTGCAAGTTTCAGAAATGGATGGATAAAGACCACCCAGCCAACAAGTGGTTCAAACAGAGTCTGAAGCTGGTTTAACAAAAATCAATCCTTTCATCTCACCGTCAGCATGAAAGTAAATAAATGCAATTTCTTAAAAAGTCAAACTATTTCTTTAATGAAAATCAACTTAAAAATCTGAAGCCAACAAAAACTAAGACACAAGTAGCCAATCTGAGGCCATTTTAAAATTAGAAACATGGCTCTTTTCTCCTCCTATTGTTGTAAAAAGCCTCCGGGAAGTTTTCAAGCACTGCCTGGAGAGCAGTTTATGGTAAAGGGGTGTGAACACGTCACTAGTCTTGACGCCTGCTTCGGTGAACATGCTGCCGTGTGAACAGAGCGCCATAAAAATCCAGAGGTTTTACAGCTTCCTCCAGGATATGCAGCTACTGTTACAGGCATACGAGAGGCTCATAAAGAGAATTTTAGGTACGACGACATCCGGTCACTCATGTTATGTGGAGCTGGTGCTGACTTAATGCCATCATTAAGGCAAAGTCTGAGGTCACCATGTTAATACCAACCTTGTGCTGCTGGATTTGTCAGCTTGTAGCGAGTCCTTTGACATCTCCATCAGTCTCATTGCCTCATTCACGTCCTCCTTCTCCACAGTGTCCATCATGCGAAGACGAGCCTGAAGGAGGACAACAAAATGAAAAGAGGGGAGTTTGTTATTGAGAGGGAAAAAATGCAAAAACACACACTGGAGAATTTTGCTAGACAGCAGATCCATCTTGATGACGTAGGCTGCGCTGTGCCGGCACTGTCAGACCGAGACAAGTGCAATGCCCTCTGGGATGGTCGGCAATTGCCCAAGTCTCCGCCTCTCAACACCAGCTAGTCTCTCTACAGATTGAAATTAGAACCTCTGACAGAAATGCCAAAAGAAAGAGAACCAGGATACTTTGAAGATCGGGTTTCTATGTAGAATATACTGACGACAGCTCTGGCCATGGTCAGTTTTGCATGGGTTTGCACAGCTGCACCTAACGCACACAGGCTGACTGCCCACCCTGCAAAGCTGGCCAGGATCAGAAAAAACCTCTTACAGTATCTCGATTATGAAGGTGTAACAAATCATCTGTAGCATTAGGGCAGATGCAGAGTTCAGTTGTGACGTATTCTCAACATTACAATTCAAGCAGTTTCTGGCACACAGGCGTGGTTGTGGCAGCAGTTTGCCCCCTTGTGGAGATCTGTGTGGAGCACATTGCCGACCTGTCTGCATGAAGTGCTGGTTTTGCAGTAGGTGGATGACTGCTACCTGCACAAACAGCACTTTTGGCACCCAGAGGCCAAGACACCAGATAATAAACACTCCTTCAGGAAGTATTAGGTTTTTACTTTACATTTCTGCCATTTAGAGTCTTTTTTAGAAAACTAAAGCACAAATACAGTTTTTACAAATCATGTAAAGTGATCCATCTGATTTGATATTGCCGAGTCATTGGGAAAGCTGACCGCATCTTCGGTGTTCGACAGACTGGAGAGCTTTTGTCCAGCGTGAGAAAGAAGTGCTCACACTGCAGTAGGCCAGGTTATCATCACTACCTGCACTGTAAGCACTTTATCTCACACTGGACTATTGATGAAGGTACACACAGGAGGATGGAACCAATTTAACTAATTAAAATTTTATAATAACTGCAGCTAAACATTAATCCACCAATCCATATATATTTGAGACCTTTCAAATGTTGTATTATCAGTGAAGGCTAAATTTATACTTTAAGAATAAAAACAACAACATTGAGGAAAATTAATTTGATGCGGTTTCTGACAAAATCTA